GAAGACCGAGTGCGATTGAAACGCACGTGATTTTTCGCAATTTTATCTCGCGTCGCACGTAGTGTATGCACGGCGATCGGCGAGAGGCGAAACGATAATTTCGCTGAACGCGCAAGATTTTCAATGCTCGCTCGATGAAGAAATATCATCGTCGAGAGATTACCGCGTCTGCCGTGAATCGTAGGAAGAAGACGCTTTCCGCGAAGACGCGAGAAACGTTTACAGCCGACGACCGCGAGCGTTACCGAAAGCTGCAGCGCCGCGTCGCGAAAAGAAAACCAAGGATCCTCGCGGTAATTCCTCGGTACCGCGAACGGCGCACCGTCGAAACTCCTCTCGCGCGAGAGGAACATCCTGATTATTTTTCTAACGAATCCGAGAAGCCGCGGCGCGTTTTCGCAGCGGGATTTTTACGGCCGGACGTGAGGTGGACTCGAACTATTTCGTACCGCCGACCTTTAGACTCTCCCTCTTTGTTTAAAGCAGCTCTCAATCGAACTTGGCGTAAAAAGAACCAAGCGCCTTAAATCTAAAAAGAAAATTCCGAAATTTTATCCGCAGGAAAAAAACATGCTATGAAAAGAATGTTATAAGATCCAATTTGATGTGCAGGTGCGATTTGAAGATTGACACGTTGATTAAAAGTCGCTTAACTTTAATCTCATTGTCAGTTTAATTCATGTTTGTCTGTTTCTAAAGTAACAGTTGGAAAGAGACAAAGAACGAATTAAACTAAGCTTCAAATGAAACAACGTTGGTGAAACCGGGCCTGAACAATCAGTGATGACCGACGAAATCTTTTTTAACCGAGAAAAATGTGTAGAATTAAAATATATACTTTTTGATTTAATTAAACGCTGCAGTCAATGGCTGTTAAACAAATATTTGTTAATTCATAAAAATACTTGTTAATTAAAGTATATATATATTTCGATAAATTATAAGTTTCACTTTAAAAAATATACAGTTTGAACCGAGGGGGAAACCGCTGAGGGCATTGCTGTGTACAGATTTGCGACGTTACTGAGCATTTTTTGGGCATTAGCTAAAACATATTTAGTAATACCAATTTTTTCCCCAGTATGTGTAAAAAGTAGGTACGTAATACAAAGTTTTGAATTACATAAATAGTTAAAGTGCGCGATTCAATCCATGAAGGAAAAACCTTATATTTAATCATATTACACAATATTTTATCACATATGTACGTTTATAATAAAAATCTACTGATAAACCGGATATACATGGCAAGATAAAAAACTCGTCAGGTAACGTGCTATTATATCGTTTTAATTAAAAAACGAGAAAAACTTATGTACCGCGGCGATCATGCAAACGTCACGTGATGCTAGTAATCGGTCATCGACATTCTGCATATCCGCAATCGCGATCGACATTCCGTGCCGTCAAATTATTTCCGCGGCCGGTTTCACGGGTCTCGCCTTTAAAAGAAAATGCAACAGTGCTGCGTTGATCAAAAGACATGCGATGCTCGCTAAAGCGCGACGGACTCTAATAAAATAAAGCAGCAATTTGGAAAATTAACAAGTAAGTTTTAGTCGACCTTAACTGGCAGGTGTTTAATAAAGGAAAATACAAAGTGACGTTTCGACCAAGGGTTTAGGTCCTTTTTGAAGCAAGTTCTAAAATGAACCGATAATCGAGATTACAAACCTCGTCAGATATACAGAATAAATTGAGAAATAATTACAATGTGTATGACACAATAATAAAATAAAAAGAAACAAGATTACAATTAATACATACAATAAAATTTGGGAAATTGCAGGAAGAAAGTAACGTTCAAAAACGAACGGGATTTTCGTCGAGAAACACGCGGATGCGAGCGGCGACTGCAAGGAATGAAATCTTGATTTCTAGATACACTTATAGCGAGTTTGATTGCACTAAGTAGTGCGCACTGAATGCACATACCAAGGCTTGCTTATAATAAATTCTTACATTTAAGTTTGTCCTATATACACGTTGAAAAACTATTTAGCAAAAAAAATCCGTACGGATGCCGTACAGATTATTTTTCTGGATAAGAAATATTTCAAGAGGTATTTAAGACGATCCTTAAATATAAGAATTTATTATAAACAAGCCTTAGTGCGCACTTGGTGCACACTAGTGCAAGCGATCGAATTCGCTATTGGCGAATTAGAGGTGTTCTGAATGCTCTTTTATCGATAAAAGTGCCACTGAAATTAGTTTTGAAGGATCCTTATTGGTTGAAAAGATCTTTTACGGACGCCCGAGGGGGAAACCGCTGAGGGCATTGTGGTGTACAGATTTGCGGCATTACTTGGCATTACTGGGCATTACTAGGCATTTTTAGGGCATTAGGCCTGGGGCATTATAAAGATAAATAAGATTAAATAAGATTATAAGATAACGCCCACTGGGCATTAGTGGGCATTGGTGTACAAGATTTTGGTCAGCGGTTTCCCCCTCGCGGACGCCTTTATCGATAAAAGAGGATTTAGAATAAGGCCTACTGTGTTTTAGCTTGCGCGTCGTGGAAATTGCTACGAAATACGCAATCTCGCAATGTGAATTGCGCGCTTTATCATACTAACAATAAGTGTTATCAGAAAATGGGATGAAACCATTCAGACGATAACGGCATAACAAGATATCGATGGGCGGCAGTATGTGAATACCAACGTTCCCCAAGCACGCCAATTTGATTAGGTAATTACAGTAATTACAGTAATTTATCAGATTTCGTCGTTCGCGCGTCTGTTAGCCGCGCGTGGCCGAAATAATTCCTGTCGTAAAATCTGAGCGCCAAGTAATCTTATCTATCCCGCGTGCGACTTTCAAATAAAACACGTACATTAGACGAAACATAAATCACGGTTGTAATCTCTTACGACTTTTTAACCAATTGTGGTTAAAAAGTTGCCCATAAAAAAAATTTGTTACTCTGTAAATGTCCCGGAAAAAATAATGTTCCGCTAAAAGATTAAATTAACGAGACACTATAACAATCAACCGGCAGTACCAGTGATATAAGAATTTGTCGCTAATTCGTTGCTCTCGAAAAATATTAATTAGAATTGGTTCTACTCATTCTGTCAATTTCTTTAAAAAAAATGACGTTCCGCTAAAGGAAGACCTAGTTGGCGGAACAATGTATATGTATACATCAACGGAGTCGTAATAACAATGATAAAAGAATCTGTTATTAATTGGTTGCCCCCGGAAAATATTAAGTGGAATTAGTTTGCCACCCGAAAAAGTTCTGCTCATTTTATCCCACCGACAATAAGACACGAAGCGGTCTAGGTTTTTCATTTTCTGATTAACTGTTAACCAGAGGTTAGTCGACTCTCCATCTTTGTCTATATTATTATCCGAGGGGGAAACCGCTGACCAAAATCTTGTACATCAATGCCCACTAATGCCCACTCTGGGAAAAAAAGACAGCAACTCATTTTGGGGCCCACAATTAGTAATCGAATTATTTGGATTGTTGTAACTCTAATCTTTTACGAATTTTATCCCGCGTGACTAAAAATCGCAATTAGCTATTCTATCTATATCCAAGATTTTTAAGTAATACTAATCAATTCTTTCAGTTAGTTCTGTCGATATTCAGTAACGCAAAGATAATTTTCACTCAAGAGGCACTAACCGAAATGTTAAGTTGCTTAACTACAACAAAAAACGGTCAAAATTTTTCCCAGAGTAGAGTTACGAACAATCCAAATAATTACTAATTGTGGGCCCCAAAATGGGTTGCTAGCTGTCTTTTTCCCCAAAGCAGTGGGCATTACTTAATTTTATTATCTTATTTATCTTGTTTTATCTTATTTTATCTTTATAATGCCCCAGCAAGGCCTAGTGCCCAAACTAATGCCCAAAAAATGCCTAGTAATGCCCAGTAATGCCGCAAATCCTCTAGTTAACATTTAACCAGCAAGTAAAAGACCGGGCCTAGTATTGGCGTTTGGCGCGTTTATTATCTCTATAACGTCGAAAGGTAAAAAGGCCTGGCAGTATTGAACAATTTTATTGGAGACAGTGCATCCGCCAATCTTTTTCCAAATCTCACCTCGTAACCGGAATCAAAGCCGCGATAAGCGAGAACATGGCCACGTGCGACGCCGACTCTTTCAAGGGAAATCACGCCCGCAAAGTTGATTGAATTTTTCTGCAGGCCGGTCGTAAACGAAACGAACGGCAGGCTACTTTCGAGGGAAAGAGATACGCTTAAGGGGCCCCGACGTGGTCGAACGAGGAAATCACCGTGGTATAAATAGAGGATGACTCGCGGTCTGAACGCGCTCGGTCGATGCGATTCGTGCGGGTATCGATACACGGCGTTCCCTCAAAGAGGTGTCAACGCGACGGATTAGCGCCTTCAGACGGTACGTTGACGGTGCGTCGCTCTCGCGCTTTAAAAATAACCGAGGATGCGCGAAGCGCATCTCGCGAGACGAGAAAAGGCGAAATGCGTAACGATCCGCTCCTGTCGCCTGCAAGGCCGATAGGAAACCTCCGATTCCCTATGCGTTTCGCGCGTTTGTTATCTTTACGTCGAGAGGTAAACGGCTTTCAACTTGCTCCCAAAACCCAAGTCACCGAATAATCTTCTTCGAATCGACCTGGTAGACTTGAAACCCGATGACTTTCTCTCATAATTTTAGAATCTTCCGAGCCCAGCGAGAAATGACTCGTCGATCGATGCCGAAACGATGTCGAATCGACGTCGAATTCGTCGATGCCGACTCGACAACGTTTCGACGAATCATTTCTCACTGGGCCTGTGTCCACGATGCCACTGAACTTGGCCCAAGTTCTAGTCCAAGTTCAAGAAATGTGTAGTCAATCAACTTGCAGCTATTCCATAAAAGCTGCAAGGCGATTGGCTTCACATTTCTCGAAACTAGAGCTTGACTCAAGTTCGTGGACACAGGCTTCTAGGCTACTGCGTGTGCTGCAAAGGAATCAGATTGCCAAACCGCGGGCTGGTTAAAGCGAAGACTCACCTTAAGAGCGTACTTCTGCCTCGTATTCCTGCTGTAGCACTGCACGACCTTCCCGTTGATCCCGAGGCCCAGCACGTGATTACTGATCTCGTAGTCTTCTGTGATCGGCGTGACTTTGGGCGACAGCCGGCTGTTGAGCGGATTCTCCATCGTCTTTCTCCGGGTGTCCTCGGCTTCCGGTACCTTCGCTTCCGGTATCTGATCGTAGTCCTGTTTGATGACCTGCGTCACGACCACCGGCGGCGGTGCCGAGCGCTTGCGCCGGCTCTCCTGATCGTTCTCCTCGAGAACAGCCCTCTTGGACTTTCTGCAAACGCGAATGTATCCGTCACTTCCTGTGACTCACAATCAGTCCGCGGAGGAACGAGGCGCGCGCGGACAGGCATGCACGAAGGTCGCGCGCGCATAAGGCGTTCGAAAAAATATCATGTTTCAGATTACACCGTGATAACGCGGACCTCGGGGCCGATAACGCGTCGCCGGTATCGAGCGTGCGGAAGACACGGGAAAGCGAAAACCGTGCTTTCGCGCGCGCCGAAGAACGCACGAAAAAACTTAAGCGAAAGGCTATGAAGGAAGTGACAGTCGAGAACGTCAGCCATTGAGAGACTTGAGCAACTCGGAAAATTCCGACTGGTTGATATTCTTAATTCAATTGTTTGAGAGATAAGGCAATCGGAGCCAAGCGTGATACTTGGAGCGCTTAAAAACTTTAATCACAAAATAACTACCTTAAGATACCTATAGGTATCTTAAGGTAGTTATTTCGTAAAATCATTTGTGTGAGAATTGTTTCAAATTTTTACAGCTTATTCTTTACATTAATACGCGCAAAATAAGACTAATTAAATTAAAATTGACCGTCTCAAAGTTCTAAAAAAGCAATGTTAAAGTTAGCTGTGTCACACGAAATATTACGTGTAAAACGCGTTAATAATATTATTACACGTAACGATATAATTCGATGTAATATTGTTACACGTGAAATATTATTTACACATATTATTAAAATATTAATATTTGCGTTTGCAAACGCAAATGATGGTACATTTTTTAAAGCCTAACGGTAAGTGAGATTCGTATGAGAAACAAATATCTTATAAAGTAAAATAGAACGAATAACTGGAAAAAATCAAAGTTATTGACCGTTCCGTTTTAACAATATAAACAGTTAAAACTGAAAAATGGGAAGAATTATATATTATAGTACACATGAGTGTAGTGTAAGAGATGTGGCAACAGCGTCTCAAACTATAATCTTTCGAATCTACTTTACATTAATTGTATTCTTTAAAACAATATTGCATCAAGATGTATCATTGTAATAATTGAGTGCTGGTTCCTGTCTGGAAGAAACTTTCGAGCATTACTGTCGCGAAACAATTACCTTAACAATAACGCCTACGATTCGATTCTCTTTTTGGACCCTTAGCAACGCGACAGAGAAGAATAATTAAGTCTTGAAATTCTTAAGTCTTATTGCCTGAGTTTTTTCGTGCTTCCAACTTAACTCGCCGCGTTACATCGCGAGATGCGATTAAGGCCCGAACGCGCGAGAAAACTGAAGCAGTGAAACTTAAGACTTAAGGAAAATGAGAGAGAGTCAAGAGCGTAAGCGGTCATTTTGAAACTCAAGCAATGCTGAAAATTCCGATCGGTCGAAATTCTCAAGTCTTAAGTCTTTACTGCTTAAGTTTTTTCGTGTGTTTCCAGCTTCGTCGCGGCACGTTACGTTAATCCACGTTTGACCGAGGACAATCCGTTCGGCGGGACGATGGGCACTCGAGATCGAAAATTTTAGGGAGGGCCGACCGTAAATAATATTCGCTAAATGTTCGTGCACTGTCAGCCATGCCATTTCAATGGAGACCGTTTGCGTAACCGTCCTCGAGGAATGTGCAAGATTCATGTTATTTCGCGTACACGCGCGCCGACACACGCACGCGCACCCGCACACGCGCATAACGTGCTTCTCCCGTTCGCGGTGCAACCTGCACACGCCACGATGCGGTGCACCGCGCGATTTTTCCAATCTGCAATCGGAAGAAAAGTTGCGCGCGCGCGTATCGGCATGACGTAAGGATTGCATTAGCATAATATATAGGCGTCTCGCAACCGCCTGCCACTTCATTCATTCGTATACATAAAAGGCGATACTGTACACGCTCGACGCGCATGAAATGAACAACTAATTCGGCGATTAAGGCCCGGTTGCACCAACGTCGCTTGACTTCAACCTTAGCTTAACTCACTCTTTGTCTCCTTCTAACGCTCGTTTCTACCAACGCAGTTTAACTTTAATCTCGGTTCAACTTACTTTATATCTTTTTCTAGTTTTACAAATTAGAAAAAGATAACAAGTGGTCTAAACCGAGATTAAAGTTAATCTGCAATGGCAGACACGGGCACGAGGGGTAAACCGCTGAGGACATTGTGGTGTAGAAAGCGGCATTACTGGGCTTACCAGGCATTTTTTGGGCTTTAGTTTGGGCATTAGGGCTTCTTAGGGCATTATAAATATAAAATAAGATAAAATAAGATGATAAGATAAAGTAATGCCCACTGGTCAGCGATTTTCCCCTCGCACGGGCATAAAGAAAGCAGAAAGAGACGAAGAGTGAATTGTACGCTAAAGGTAAAATTCCGTGACGTTGGTGCAACCGGGCTAAAGGGGTCTATGTTTCCAACGTTAACGCTATCATTACTTGTTTTTCTATGGTATATTATATCTGTGCAAAGCGTGTAATGATGTCGTTAACGTTGACAGAACAAGGGCTTCATTCTGTACTCGCTTACCGACAATTATCGATATCGTTAATGACGTTTGCGCAGCTTTTCTATCATATATAGTTGTCGGTATTCGAGTACAGAATACATCGAGCCCGATGCTTCTAAGAATAAAGGAATTACTAGCGATATCCGAACGGCACATCGATATAAACACAGCAAACAGCTGGCCAGTGTGAAGGTATTTGCTTACGCAAAACGGATTGTCGGTTTGAGAAACTATATTGTACACAAAGAGAATTATCTCTTAAAATTTACCCGGAAAATCATGTAATCGTGGGACAACGTGGCATTTTGAAGAATTTTATGAGAGTTTTTACTAGTAAAATGTATGGTAAAATTTCAAAAAGCTGAAAAATAAAATTCTTCATACATTTTACTAGTAAAATCATGGGACAACGTGACATTTCGAAGAATTTTATGAGTTTTTTTAAATTTGACCATACATTTTACTGGTAATTATACTTATTGTTAGTATACATTTTACTAGTAAAATGTATGGACAAATTTCAAAAACTCACAAAATTCTTCGAAATGCCACGTTGTCCCACGATTACATGATTTTCAGAGGATGAATTCTAAAAGACACTTCTCTCCGTGTAGGGCGCTACCTTGGAAGTGGTCACGAGTCACAAATTATTAAGAGGCACTTGCCGTTAATCGCCATGTCACGGTCAGATAACAAATTTATATCGCTTATCGCTGTAAAGGGGGACGGGACGTAAGTGTTGCGCGAGACGAATAATGAGAGATACGACACGCCGGCGACCAATTATTAACCCTCGTCAGAATGACAATTCGGGCCAACGTTAACGGACATATTGACATATTTGTCCGGGTAAATACTGTCCTGGGAAAGGGTTAATTAGACTGTCATCGCGCCGCTTGGCACTCGAGGATTATGTTTACAGAGATATTACAGAGATTTTATTAGATTAGAATTGCACAGATATCAAGTGTGGCCGATATGCACGATTTACCAAGCCACTTTACGTACCCCGGAATTCTTATATTCTGATTAACGCGAGCGGGAAGTTAGTGGAGCAGCAGATTCGATCAGCGCAGCGTTAGATCAATCGACCGCGACCCGCTCTCGTTGTTCGCGTCGACGAGACGTCCACGGGACGGTTGCACCAACACTCTCGATTAATTAAACGTTAACCAGCCGAACTTTCTTCCAGAATCTCTTAGACAAAACAGAACGATATCCCGTTAATCTAAAAGAAAAAGAGAAAAAACCTCGAAGCGCAGAAGGCTCAAGCTCAAAATTCAAAACGTCTTCCATACTCAAGACGTTTCGTTTTGCGAATTAATTCCGCGCGATTCAATTCGAAATTTTCCGATCTGAGAAACACGTTGAAAACATGTATGTTAATTAGACGGACGGTCTGTGAGAGGAAAATATATCTTTCCGTTTTACAAATATAAAGCGGGGAAATCCAATCAATCATTGATTATTCAACGAAATCGATTGTTGGTGCAACCGGCCCTCTTCCGGTCCTCGTAGTGCGGGAGAACGTGTGACGTAAATGAATGTGTAAGTCCTTAGGTTTCACACGCTCACACACACGCACGCACACTCTCTCTTTCTCTCTGGCTCTCGCTCTCGCACGTAGGAAATAAAGATAAAAGAGACCTCCAGAATCTCCACTTAGTCGCCGACTTCGGCATCGGTGTCGATTTTTGCACGGCTAAGATTCCGCCCCGATCCCGTCGGAGAGACAAAAGCATCACCGCCCGCCCCGCGTCGGTAAAAGCTGAAGATGGAGGGGCTCCCAGGGGACGACCTCCCAGGTGCAACGACGAGGTTCGGGGGTGGTTTACCGCACGGCGTGTGCGGTGTCGTTACGGAAGAGAGGTCCGCCCGCCGAGATTTTTTCCCACACGGCGCGTGCCGGAGGAAATTGAGTAAGTTTTAGTCCGCCCGGTCTCGGTTTCGCCTTCGCTTTTGCGGGTTGCGCTTTTCGCTTTTTTGTTTTGTTTTTAATCAAGCCAAGGGACAATCGGGGCCCGCCAGCTGAAAACTAAAGATAAAGAGACCAAATGATACAAATTAGACTTGCAATCCGCGCACGAGGGTTCGCTCCGTTCGGCACAAAAGCGTCGTGGATCGAGCTTGGACGAGGCGAGCGCGAACACGTTTCCCGGAAGCTAACGAATACTCCACACCAACGATCGTAAGTCGGACGTATACATATGTATGTACCGCCGGTGTTACTTCCGGCGTTTCTCGGCGCCTTCGGAAACACGCATCCGGGATTTATCAAGAATTTACCCGACGTCTCACGGTTCGGCTCGCGGTTACGGAGAGAGACTCGATAATCCTCGAACCGATGCGTCCCGTTTCGCACTTGGGCCGGGGATATAATCTTAGCGTGGAAAAGCAATACTTGAGAGAAAATAATGAAAATTGAAAAATCAAGGTAAAAATATACAGAAAGCCGAGTTCTCTCGGGAGTCTCGCCCCGCGTCGTTTCGAAAAGTTCCGGGAGCACCGCCGAACGCGCTCGAAAGGGGTGACGGGGCCCGAAAGTGACGACTTCATCCGCGCGCGCGTTTCCCATTCATACGTTTCTCCGCGCGGCGCGAATACGCGCCGTCGCGCCATGCCGATGAGCGCATTCGCAGGCGATGAGAAGGAGGAGAGGCTTGGGAGACGTATTTACACACTGAGAAAAATGTCCGATTAAATATTATCGGATAATCCAATTTACATAAGAACAAACGGATATATCCGATTAAATTGTATATCCGATGAAAAGTATGATCGGTTTGTCAACCAAATTTCACCGTTAACTGCATTTCATCGGATTCATCGGATAAATTTCATCGGATGTGTCCATAATTTAATCGGAAAACGTAATCGGAAAAATTAACCATCGGAAACGCTATTTAATCGGTCTATCCGATGGAATTTTTTCTCAGTGCACATATATAGCGCCACACCGATTAAGCCGCTTAATTTAGCATGACGTTTTCAGACCGTCGGATCGACAAGTTGAGTCCCGATCGATGCTTCATTCCCGGACCCGCGTTCGCGTGCGTCTTGTCACGGGAAATCGCGTCGCGAGCGAGTACTCCTCGTGCATCTTTCTCGAGGAGGAGGAGGTAAAATCGAATAAAAGCAAAAGCGGTTGCGTCGATGTCCGACGGCGAGATCGTTCCGAGGCTGGCGAAAAAGCAAGGGACGTGGTTTATCGATGAAAGGGCTCGCGACTGGTCAACGCAGCGGACAAAGAACGTGCACTCTCCCTCTCTCGCTCGCTTTTTAGCCTGATCTAGTACAATGTCCGGAAACATCCTATTTTATTTTATACAAGCAAGTCAAAACGCTTAAATTTGCCGACAATGTACGATTGTACAGTGTGCAATGCACAATCGCATCAACTTGCACAAATTTTTTAAACGTATTTATTGGCTACAAAATAGAATGTTTCTATAGACGCAAATAGCACATCGCGGACCGAGCCTTTCTCTCTCGTTGCACGACCTGTCGCGAAACACGTGCGTCACCGTGGAATTTTGTTTGCCCGACACGTGAATCGCGCACGTCACAATAGAGATACGGGACAGACGATGACCGACAGTCACGTTTGACGCTTGAGATGCGGGAGAGGAGTAAAGCCAAAGCCCCCGCGTGCCCCATTAAACGCCGGCGGTGATTGGCAGTCGCGGGCGCGACGTAACGATAAAAAGCCCGAGCGTGCAAGGCAGTGGAATAACGTCAGCTCCGATTCGGAGTCCCACGGTGTTTCGATCCAGGTGCTGGTCCCACCGAGTCCTCTAGCGTTGCTCACAAAATGACAATTTGTCGCGCAAAATCGTCTCCCCGTTGCGAGCACTCGGAAAGTCGGAGCTTGACTTTCTATCTTTCCCATTTGTTTTACGTAGGTGCAACCTTGCGCGAAACCATAGACGTATTAACCACAGAACGCTTACGAGACACTGGAGGCGTCCTCCCGAGGGAAAAGGATAGTATGAATTTATCTGCGTGTCTATCTTTCTCTGACTCTCGTGACTCGTGTCCACTAGAGAGAGAGAAAGACACCCAAATAAATTCATAGAGGGGAAGTCCTCTATTATGAGATAGGTCTCTAATATGAGACAGCAGGTTTCCAACATACAAATTCAATCAAAAATCTTCCTTCGCCACGGTTACATGATCGAACGATGAGTTTCCCAGTAAACCGATTTCGCTCCAAGGGCAATGAATTCACGGCGGAGTCAACCGGTGATGCCTATTAATTTGATAGAAAACCCATATTAAGATCCTATAGCTCGTAATTAGGGAACTTTACTATCATAATTTATTTGAGTGTCCATCTTTCTCTGGTGGACACGAGTCATGGGAGTCGGAGAAAGATGGTCACCCAAATAAATTCGTAGAGGAAAGTCCTCTATTACGGAATCGGTTTCTCATAAGAGACAGCAGGTTTTCAACACCCAAACGCAATTACAAATCTTTCTTCGCAACACGATCCAACAATGAATTTCCCTCTAAACACAGTTCACTCCAAGGGCAATAAATCCGTGATAGAACCGACCGATGACGCCTGTTAATTTAACAGACCCGCTATCTCATATTAAGATCCTAATTCATAGTAGGGGACTTTACTATCATATAATTTATTTGGGTGTCTATCTTTCTCTGCACAGTTGAAACATTTGTGTTAAATTTAACAGATATCACATGTCCCAAACGGCCCACACAAATTTTTCTGTTAATTTAACATAATATGGATATGTTAAATGGTCACACTAATACTCTGTTAATATTTTAACGCAAAATAAATGCAGATCTCAAAATAATTTGAAATAAAGTTTGTGTGAAATTAACATATTTTTAATGACAAAATGAATTTTCTTTAATGTAATTTTTACACCTTACAGATGTAATAAGTTAAATGACGGTTCGAAATCGCTGTCACTTATGTTATATAGAATAAAATCAATATTTTATTATGTAAACTTTAACAGATAAATCTTGTTACTAATAATATAGAACATATGTATTGTGTAAGATTAAAAAATAAGTACGCATTGTTTTAACGTTTTTTTCCAATTATTTTAATAATTTTACATGTGAGGTCAATTAACACAAGAGCAATATGTTAAATTAACACATAATGTGTTAAACATTTAACACAGAAATTTTAACCGGCATTTTCTTTAACAAGGAAACACAAATTTTCCAACTGTGTGGGTGGGCATGGGTCGCGAGAGTCAGAGAAAGATAGACACACAATAAATAAATTCATACTATCCTTTTCCCTCAGGAGGATGCTCCCAGGGCTGCACTGCCTCATAAGCAGTCTATTGGTTAACATGTCTACGTGACAAACGTATAATCGTGCGTTTCCAAAAGCTCTACGTTGAATGGAAAGTATGACGAGCAGTTGACCGTTTTACAAGAACAAACACTTGTTAATGAAAATTCACTCGTGCGAAAAACTACAATAAGCTTATTTGTCTCTCTTTGGACGAAACCAGTACTTTTGGTACATCCTCATTAAAAATATTTCAAAACATTTTTAATATTAATTTACAGTTGTTGAACGATAAACGTTAACAAAAACGACTTAGTACGAATATTAGTTATAAATATTAATATGTCTGTTACATTGATAATTTTTCAACAAGCTATAGTACCTGCTATATTTCTAAATATTCTTATTAAAAATGTTACCGTAATATTTTTAACATTCAGTTATTCAAATGAAAAGTACACAAAGAATGGGAACGCAAGAAAAAAATTGATCAGAGAGAAAATTCTTTTCTAGCGTCTATCTTGGCCCAATGGAAGGGTGGAATTAGTCGGACTGACAGTAGTAAGTTTCGAAAAGACAGATGATTCATTCAAAGGGACACGGAATCGCGCGCACGAAGTCACTCTCCGCCGTCGCGTTTAAATGCACAGATATAAATAAGCGTGGAAATGAGTGACGGAGGACCCACAGCCTGAATATACGCTCCGTACACGTTCGACAGAGGCACTCTCGAGCCCAGGGGAAGCCGAGGGACCCGGATCCGGTCGGTCGAGCTGTCAAAACAACATGGAGTCGAAGGAACGAGCATTACGTACCCCGGCGACGTGGTGCACCCCTTCGTCGCGGCTTAAATTTCCCGTTACGGTTGCTAGTCGCGCGCGTGCCTAGCTGCCCTGGCCGGCATCAAAGCCGAAACGCGGCGGCTCGCCGCTCGATCACGCTCGCGCAAATCACCGAAACGGAGAGCGATCCGCCTCCCGAAACTCCCGCACTGTGCAATTAGGAGCCTCGCGGGACAGGCGTGCTCGATTCGGAGGGACGAGTTCTCCTGCGCGCCGAACTCCGACCGTTTTCTCCGCGCAACTCGTCGCCGGCGCGAGATCGCGATCGCGAGAAACGCCGCTGGGTTGCGCGACGTTGAGCAACCGGCCGAGCTGGACGTGCAACTGTTCGAACGAGCGTTCGTTCCGTCGCGTCGCGTTGCGTCTGGTGGGGCCGCGCCAACCGCCGCCGGACTAGAGACCCACTAATCAGAGTCTGGCCATGAGGAAGCATGCTGATTGGTCCGCCATTTCTTCTCAATTCGCGCCAGTTTTATGAAGCGGTAATTATTCAGTTTAGCTCCCCTCACCAGAGTATAACCAGTATGGGCACTCTCTGTCGGCACCTTTGATCTGGGCGTTCTCAATTTTCCGCCATGTTTTTATTCGCGCCAACAGTGTATCAACGGCTAAGGGCCAGTTTCACAAACGTCGTTTTACCGCTAACCCATGGTTAATCAATCGTCCGTCTCTTCTTGGATAATAAGATAGAGAAAGATAGGAAGTCGACTGAACTCTGGTTAACAGTTAACCGACGTTTGTGAAACTGGACCTAAAAGTGCCTGGGCCCTTTTCAGGATCGTATCCAGGAAAGGCGCATACGAACTGGCGTACATTATTTATTGTAAATAGAAATGGCCCATGAAAGAAAATGTTCTAATAAAAGTAATTAATGTAATTATTTGCTCCAACATATAAAAGTATTTACGCGTTATTCGTCAACACTGTGAATTTTTCTATGTCACACCGACTTTGCACTAACACACGTACAAAAATCCTGTGATTGGTCAGAAAAAGAACATGTCGGATGCGCAGGTACGGATCGGCGCGAACGTGAAACAAAAGAGCGAGTGCCCATACTGGTTATACTGTGCCCTCACCGCCAAAATCGATTGGAATTAGGCTCATTCAACGTATTTAATTGGATCTTAAATATAATATGATGACCGCTCTTTGATAGACCACAACTAGGTAGATTGAAAAAGGAAGAAAATGAGCTCTTTGATTGATCTAGATTCGATTTTGTTTTCAACTTTGCAATTTTGCAACGAAGAGAATGTATTCCTCGTTTTTCGTCTTTATCGCTAAATTTAATTTTATCTCGTTACATCTGGCGGCTTTCTGATTGGAAGGAGAACTGTAATTTCGTGTCACGACTCGAGGCCGTAACGAGCCAGAATCAGACACTGGCTGGCGTCACGCGACTATCACGCAAGCGCCGTTCGTGGAAGCACGCTTTCTCTAGAAAGTTTAATCCTTTCGCGGAGCCACAACTGTCTCAGGGCTATTGACCTCTAATAAAAAAAATTTTAATGTACCAAATTATCATGCAAAGATTTTGCGCTCTTGCCTCAATGACGAAACTTAAAAATGCAGTAATAATTAATCTCTACGATACTTTACAGAAAAAAGGAATCGGGTGAAATCAAGAAATCTAATTTGCGTGAATATATCTCCGAGATGACCCAAAAAGACTTCACTAACTTTCCCTTTTTATAGCAACACACGGGATCTTTCGTTCAATAGCAAATAAAATCTATTATAGTAAATTTTTTCATCAAGTTGGAATCGAGGAATGGACGCAAAAGTAGCATTTATACATGTCCTCTAATAATGTTTATTTCGTATCGTAAATATATGTTATATTGCCGACGCGTTTAAATACATGTGTGTTTGTTAAGTATGTACACATCGTTCTCCTTGTAGTGAAATTGCGTTGCAACGAATTTTCAGGTATCTCTGATGTTTTAACTATATCTCGTTACTTACATAACAATAATTACAAAATTCTTATAACATCCATATAAATATCTTTCTTATGTAGGCACATTCTTACACGTATATACAATTTCCTTTGCAATGCATCCGCGAAATATCATATCGCAACGTATTGTCTCGTTAAGGATACATTCCGAAATTTAAATGCTATTGCGGCGATCCCGTAACTTATATTCGAATAATACAGAGGCGTTAGCAGCAAAGCGTAACGCTGAAACGCAGAAAGCACTTAAATCCCGAAGATGATCCGAGAAATCGTTTAAACGGTCAAGCTACGGCAATTAATCCTAAAATCAAGTTCCAGAAATCTATGTTATTCAGTAAAGATATTGGTCATATCAACATATCAAAGATTGTATCCGACTATTAAACGTTGTTTTAATAATAACAATGACAATATATCATTATCGACATCGCAAAATAGTACCTTGTTAAGAGGCAATTTTAATTTCCGACACATTTAATGTTATCTAAATTCTAGCCTTTAACTGAGAAGTTGATTATACCGTTGAAAAATCCTTACAACTAACAATTAACTTCTGCAAAAAGATACTTATAAAAAATTAAAAGTTCTTACAAATTTCTTGAAAAGTATTTAAGACCAGTTTTTTAACTTAAAAATAAATTTTTTCAAGAGTATACGCATGATAATGATACAAGGCTGCAATATTTCGTTGGTTTGTTAATTGATGAAGGGGATATTAAGTATAATATAACTTAAAGATACTAATGTTATCTTGTATCTCCAGAACCATTAAAATATTTATGAAATACTGCGTATAGAGTTACTTAATTATAATTATTACAATATATAATTACAGTACGGTAAAATACGTAATTACAATATATTAACAATACGAAATTTACATTTTCAATTAAGTAACTCATGTACAACTCATGTATGCCTAAGCTATGTTAAGTATCCACGCTTTTCTCTTACAAAAAATATGATTTTATTGTCCACTCCGAACAAGTCACAGGTAATTTGTGCACGTAAACTTTGATTTGTATATTGGAAGCAAAAATATGTTATCGTGACTTCTCTTTTTATGTTATAGAAAATCTGAATCACGCGCGTTATTTTACATCAACATTTCTGTAAACAAGTAACAACGAAGTTGTTCTAATTTTAACTTGTCTCGTTTATTTAAACGCCTAACGCTTCAAACAAAAATCTTGTCTTCTCAGCAGACATGTAGAATAGACTAAGTAATTTTATAACAATCTTACTGTTAATCATAATACATTATAAACATATCGCCTTCTACATTTTGTGTAAGTAATGTGCCAATACAAAACTTTTCCTGTGAAATTATATCACAGATTGAAGAAGCCCATTTTCGAGATATCGCATTTTGTCCCATGGATACTTAAAAATGCAACAGCGTGCAACTGCTGTGTTTTAATTATATCTGTATGTATATAATCATAATTGTAACTTTATTATATCAAATATATATAAAAATTAGCATTATAATATTATACATACACAGTAAATATTAAAATACACAGTAACGATTTAATGGATCCCGATATAAGATTTCGAATTTAACGGATCAAACAAATAATAATACAGTATATATTCGGTGGTTGCATATGAAACTGTCCATTGTTAAGCGAAAGAAAAGATAGTGATCTGATAGCAAATCGACGAACTGGTTTATTCAAAGTATTGCCCATCGGAACAGACAACCTTCGCCCAACTTTCGGGCAACAATCGGTTTTCACGCAGGAAGAATTCGGGTTCTTTGGAAGCAATTCCCAGTCATCTAGCCATTTTTTTACTTTTTCGTACGAGGTGCAGTGCTTTGCCTTAAGTGCTGACTGCATCGATCGGAACAAATGGAAATCAGAGGGAGCGATGTCTGGGGAATACGGCGGGTGGGGTAGAATTTCCCAGTTCATTCCTAAGTACTTTTTGACTAGTTGAGCAACATGTAGCCTGGCGTTGTCGTGCTGCAAAATCAACTTGTCATGATTGTTCCATTCCGGCCTCTTCTCGTACAGAGCTCGCTTCAAACGGATCAGTTGCAGTCAATAACGATCACCAGTGATGGTTTCCGACGGTTTTAGCAGTTCATAATACACGACACCCCTTTGATCCCACCAGATACAGAGCATAACCTTATTGGCGTGGATGTTTCTTTTTGGCGTCGACGGAGACCTGGTTCCCCAGGACGTACCCGTACTGTTTTTCGCTTCGGATTGTCGAAATAGATCAATTTTTCATTTCCTGTCACGATTTGATGGAAAAAAACCCTTTCGTTGTTGTTGTTCAAGCAGCAGTTCACAAGTGGTTCTCCGTCGTTCAATGTCCCGTACCTTCAATAGGTGGGGGTACCCAATTTCTTTGCTTCTGCACTCGTCCCAGCGTCTGTAGTCGTCTGCAAACTGTTGATTTGTCCACATTTAAGTCTTCGTCCAAATTCGCCAGCATTAAACTCGAGTCTTCGTCCAACAACGCATCCAATTCCATGTCCTCAAATTTTTTGAGTGGTTTGTCAGCTTCAATTCGAAGAAATAGTGTATCTAATACCATTTATTGCCAACGGGCGGTTTCATATGCAACCATCCAATATATTAAATGTCGTATCATGCATTGTCATATCACACTTGTTTTGGATAGCGTGGGGTAAACTCGCTTTGTGTCGATCTCATTGTCAGTCTACTTTAAGATATCGCGCTATTAGGTTTAGGATACAGAGTTTCTGTGATCTCTGAATCGCGACTATAGTAAATTAAATAATTCGATTTGATAGACTTTCAGTGTTAAACGCTCCTTTCTCCTTTAGTTCATTAACTTGAGGCTTTACCGTATATATAAATATTATAATGTCAATATTCCCTGATTATAACTTCATAGATGGTTTACTTTAACGAGCAGTGCTATTCAAGCTCTTACTTGAAATTGTAACTCAACAAGGTGTGCCAAGTTGCCATATCTTGGGAAAGTTTTGTATAATGTTCATCCACTATGTAATAAATAAAGAATTGTTGGACACGAAGTCAACATTATAAACAAGTAGATTCTGCGCCATAATATACAATACATATCTACGTTCTAAACATAAAAATATGTACATATATCTAGATGTAGATATATATGTACAGTTATCATTACATTGTAATACATACATTAATAATCATTCAAATTTATGCGCGTTTCATGATTGTATCATTATGCTCTTGTGCAAATAGTCGAAAGGGGAAATGCGAAAATAAAAATTATCTCGACCACTCACGTTTGGAGTGACCGCCTTCGTTGTGCGGAAACGTTTGAGGCATCTAGCATTACGTGTATATCACTCTTTTAGGTCACGATTTACATTGCACTGACGGTATTCGTCACCCCGCGTGACTTTCCGGCTCGGTCTTATAATCTTGCATGGTAAGGATATAAGGCACGACGCTAGCCACGCTTACTCGCCCGATGAGTCCCGAGAAAAAGAGATCCTCCAGAACTCTAGGATTAATCGAACGGAGAGGTGCTAACCTCAGTAGAAGACGAGGTAATCTATCAGAGCCCACACGCTGATGTAGCTCCGTCCACGCCGCTTCCTGCAAGACCTCAACCTTCTTACGCCAAATTCCTGCCAGAATATTATCTGGAAAATATAATAAATGCGCCTCACTACGCGGTCCATAATAAACAGATAAAGAACTTTACAGTTTGCTATTTACATTCACTTACCAGCACTAAAAAGCGTTAAAGCTTTAAGATATGCATACTCGACGGAATCCACTTGCAGTTTGTGTAGCGAACTCACGCAATCCTGTAGTCTACATATATGCTCCGTAACGCATTTTACTTTGCCCGCGGTGACTTTCTCTTGTGCGATATTAGCTTGCAAGTGATTGATTATCGACGTCAAAATACCAGGAAGTGACAGAGTGTATGCACATTGTGCCAGACCTAATGTAAACAACTGTCCCCAGGAACTTCGAACTAAAGTAGTTTGAACTTCAGATCTAAAACGTAAAACATTTACCTTATTATTAGACACCACGACTTTACCATTAATATCGTCCAAAGATAAATGTACTATTTATAGAAAGTATCACACTTACGGCAAAGCTTGAAATGCCGGAATACCTCGCGCCCAATGCACAGATAAAAATAGTAATCTGGCTGCACTTTCGCATATGTAGTGAATAGATAAATACACGGGTGCTGGGCTAGGCGCTCTCAATTCGAACAACGTATTTCGCTCGGAGATTAATTGGCCGGTCCATTCTTCCTCCGGCTCGCTCGAACCATTAACATTCTGCAAGCGAACGTCGCGATAGATTAAAGGCCTATCCACACGTAGAGATGACACTTGAGATAATAATCGCGACTTACGTCACCAATGATTTTAGCCATGCTATCGGCTAACGCATGAGAAAGTAGTAAACGCTCGCGAGCTAAGGTCAGAGCGTCGCTGAGAGCGTCACTGTCGCTGCTTTGGTCTTCCATGCTGGGGCTTTCGGGTTGCTCCCAAGCCGGCGGTGCCTCGGGCGCGGGTTGCTGTGGTTCAGGTTTTACCCTGGGACTACGGCTGCCAACTTTTGTCGCGGCCGAGTCACCCAACACCGGTTTTCTCTCATGTTGCACAGCTGCAATAACGTTAAAATTACTCACATGTTTATCATGTTCTACAATGTATTTCGGACAAGCTTATTGTAACACGAGATAGAGACAACGCGTGGCTCCATATAGGAACGATTGATTCGTAGCTGGTAGGATTCAGTCCCGACCCTCACTCCATGTATAAGATTCGATTTATAAGACATTAATTAAAGAAGTCGGTGCGTCACTTTGTAAGAATGTACATACTTATACATGTAAATTTTTCGTACACCAACTTCAAAGTAATACAAATTTGGCAATTAAAGGAATTAGATTTCTTTATTATAATATTTAATTTTAAAATATATATGAATAGACATTTATGATTCGGGAAAGTTGTTTTTGTTTATATTTGTACCGTATCTTTTGAACGAAATATTAAAATTTTTAATTTTCCGTAAACACCCGTGTGTAAGATCCTAACTTTAAAATTAAAAACTAAGTGGTCAAAACTCACAATCAGTCAACACATTATTCTGCCAATAATGTTTAGCAAAAATTACACGTGATTCTTACTCTTTTGTTACAAGTTAGCAACCTTAAAAAAAATTTTTTTAAAAAGAATGGTACTGCATTCTGATAGAAACCAGAAAAGGATATATATTCAGTAAAGAGGAGAAGTACAAAAATAAATGAGTTTCACTTACAATCGCTTCTCATGCCCATCGCCAAGCACTTCTGAAGTCTACAATACTGACAGCGATTTCTGTGGTGTTTGGTAACTTCGCAACTCTTGCTTCCTCGACATTGGTAGCCCAGCTGCTTGCGGATGCTGCGCTTGAAAAAACCCTTGCAGCCCTCGCAGCTGATCGCCCCGTAATGCCTACCACTAGCTCTATCCCCACAAACTACGCAGAGCTCCAAGGATAGCCCTAAGCCTAACGAGCCGCGCACGTCCCTCGCCAACTTCACCTACAAAAGAATATCAAAATGTCATGTCGGGCTAATAAAGATGAACTCTAAAGTGAAATCGGCGCGGACGGATATTCACCTCAACGTCGACATTACTTAAATGCTCCATGCCGGAGTGCAAGTGAATCATTCCAGGATGATGGCCGAGATTGCGAAAGTCCCTTCCCATCTTGTGGTCCATCTTGTCGTCGTGTATGTCGACGTGATTATTTTGATCCCTATCTACGTCTCTCTGCAAAGACAAATTTAACGTTTAACCAGGTAAATCGATATTACGCAAAAAGTGGTCGGCGCTAAATCAATATACCTACCATGGCTGGGTGATGCCCTATATTGTGGAAATTCCTCCCTAACTTCTCGGGCTTGTCGTCGTGCAGGTTCTCGGCGTGATCAGCCGGGTCTATATCCATATCTCTCTGCAACAAGGCAACGATATCAAGACTGACGTTTTATCAGATGAAGAGTCGTTTCCGCTATTGATTCATTAGTCGACCAAGACGATAACGAAGGAACTAGTAGCTAGCGTTTATCAGCAAATTAACGTTGGAAATAATTGGGGAATATCAATACTGTTTCTTATTTCTCTAGGGTGATCACTTTTCCACAAGCGCTTTTCGGCGCAATCATCGCGAAGGTAATTAACAGGCGATATTTCCATGATAATCACTGACAAACGCCATTTATCGTTTAGGGAGAAGGGAGGGGGGACTTTATGACAAGCAATGAACCTCTGCATCGGCATCCGGCGTACGGTCGCGGTGGTGGGAGAGGCTGCGAAAAGCCATTCCAATTTTGCCCAAGTCCGGCTCCTTCTCGCTCAGATTATCGTGATTATCGCGCTGCTCCCTATGGTCCCTGTCCATTTCTTTCTGCAAAACGGATCGGTGCCTCCGTTAGATGAACAGCGTGCCGTAGAACGCGTTTCCCAGGTGCGAGATATTTCCGCGCTGATCGCACAATAATAACGCGGCGCGTTACCGTTCCGAGCCGAACGAACCGTCGGGGCTCTCCTTTTTCGAAGCGTGTTAAACCGGCATTTAATGTATCTCCCGGCCGGATATCGCGCGTCTCGAGCCGAGTTCGAGCGCGATTCGTACGCTCGCATCGTAACGCCTTGCAGTCGCGTCGAATCGCAGCTCGAGAGAGTCCAGCGACCGCGAGCGGAAGCCGGCGAGCTCTTACGCCCATTTTCACCAACGTCGTTCGACTTTGATCTCATTGTCAGTTTGATTCATCCTTTGTCTCCTAAGTAGGCTGTTAGAAAGAGATTTAAACTAAGATCAAAGTTAAACGGGTGAAAACCCAGGGTTGGACACGCGAATTTCAGACGTCGTTCTCTCGCCGCGATACGATCAACGTGTTCTACGAAAAACGTGCCATCTCAATTTCATCCCGCCACTGGAGTCGCGCGACAGCGATTTACGGCGCGACGGTGTCACGCGCGACTCGCGGGAAAGTGCCCCGGCAATCGGCAGCGACCAACCCCCCCAGCTCTCCTCGCGGTTGCATCCCGTCGCGAGAGACGGTCGCGCGATCCGCGAGGCGCTCTCGGCCCGCGAAGAGCGCAGGGGCACGGGATAAAAATGTAAACTGGAGCATTTGTCGGCCCGTCCCCACCTGCGTCGGGGAGAGAAACCTCCGCGCCCCCGGCCCCGCCGCCCGCTCGCTCTCCTGCCGACCCCCCTCACGGCGACCGTTTTGAGAGGTGAAAGAGATGGTCCCCCGTGTTCCTCGGTTCGTAGGTTGCTACGCGGTTAGGTAGGTAGAGATGCATGCCGATGCCCGGCTACGTCGCGCTACGCTGCACCGCCGCGCCGGCCAGCCTCTGTCGTGCAGAGGCGAACGGTCCATTTTCACACGTCCGCGCGCGATCCCCCGATTTCTATGCGCGATTTAGACGCGGTTTTGCTCCGGACGGAGGTCGCAGGGCGACTCGCGCCGAAGACGAATTTAGCCGCTCATAAGCCCGTATCATGGGTTGAGATTGAGATTAGGTCGAAATTTGACCAATCGGAGTAAAATTGGATAGAGTTGAGATTAGTAAGCTTTACTCCGATTGGTCAAGTTTCAGTCTAATCTCAATATCAATCAGTAGTCTGATATATATATATATATATAAATATATATATAGGGCTATATATATATATATATATATATATATATATAGGGCTGATATTACATTCGTCGTGCGACAAATTTTTCAGCGTGTCGACTGGCTGCAGGATAGAAAATTTCTTGATACTAGGTGACTCTTATATCCTGCAACCGAGCCAACGCGCTTGAAAATTTTGCCGTACAACAAATGTAATACCAGCCTTATGCCCGTTTTCACCAACGTCGTTTAACTTTGATCTCAATTCATTCCTTTGTCTCTTTCTAAACGTTCCCTCAGGTCCGGTTTCACCAACGTTTAACTTTACGGGGTCATTCCACTTTAACGGCCCAAAAACTAGGCTTATCTTTAACAATTTTTTTCACAGTAAATATACCGTACAATAAAATAAATCTTTTTGCGATTTATTAGGGCCATCAAGCTATAACTCTTAAATAACACAAAAAAATTTATTTCATTGTATGGTGTATTTACTGTGAAAAAAATGTTACAGATAAGCATAGTCTTCTGGCCGTTAAAGTGGAATGACCCCTTAAGCTTAGCTTAATTCGTTCTTTGTCTCTTTCCAACTGTTACTTTAGAAAGAGACAAACACGAATTAAACTAAGATTAAAGTTAAGCTGCGTTTTGTGAAACCGGGCCTTCGAAAGGAACAAAAGATGTTTTTAAACTAAGATTAAACTGTCCTTTGCGCGCTTGAGCCGCGTAATCCTCTCGAGCCCGATCTCTCGTGCGTCCACACGTTATACGCGTGCGAGTAAATTGATCTAATTAAATCGACAGTTGCGCGAGTAACTTTGGACACGCGTTTGTAACGACGCGTCTCGACGTGCGTTTATAATTGTAAATACATTTGTCGTCGAGAGATTGAACGTCACGTGAAGCGGCAATGTTTAATTATGTATGCTATATCGCCACTTACACTCGTCCCTCTCGATTCACGCGGAGTACCTGTTCCACGTGGTTTATTCTTCTTTTTTTACGCGGTTGAGAATCGCGCGGATGGAGTCTGCCGGTAGAAAATAAAATACGTAAGAGATAAGCCTGTACAATATATGTTATGCTCTTGCTTGTTGTCCCATTTAATTTTAATTTCCGCGTAAATGGAAGGACTTTCGCCCGTTAAGGGCCGGTTGTTCCAACCTCTTGATAAGTTAACTAATAGTTAAATCATACGTATGGCTTTGTTTGTTTCCTTTAAATGAGATGAACTCTCTAAAATGTTTCGAGTAAACTTTTTACTCGAATCATGGCGTCACTGAACCACTTCGCTGTATTCGAGTGAATATTTACTCCAATAGAGTGAATTAATTCACTCTGAGCGAAATAGTGAAGAAATTCTTATTTTTTTAAGGTGAAGTTATAGCATTCTTGGCATTCTAAAATTCACTCCAAGTTAATTATATTAATATATAATTAATATTTAAAAAATGTTTATTAATATTATATATAAATATAACTTTTTTGTTTCGGTTTTCCCGTGACAATCAGCAGAATAAGCGACACTGTCACATAAAGTATATAGATTTTAAAGTATATAGATTATAATATAGATTTTCAGTACCGGCTGTGAATATTAGAATACAGCTTCTGCATGCGATGATGATAGTGAACAAACAACCCGTGTGGCAAATCAAAGTCATCGGTGTCTAGTGATTGTCTAATTATTTGGAGTTTTAACTCATCACTGTCTAGTTTTATTACCTCATAATCAGGTATAAATGTAATTTTTTTTATGCGAGTGGTAATGTTGCAAGCGTTATCTAATTATTAGGCAAGAAAGAAGTGTCGCTGCTATACAAAATTTCTAGATAATGTCTAGAATTTCTAAATACTGTTGTCTCGCAACTAGATAACTAAAATAGTTTGTGGCTGACTAGTAAACATTTTTCATCGTTTACCTGCACTTGTAATTCCAGATTATTGCTATAAATTATGTCATTGTCTGTATATTTTACAGATTATTAAATACTTTTATTTCATTTTATCTCCTTTGTAACCATTGAAAAAAATCCGTGGCACGTATCGGGGTTCGATCCTGGAATCCTTGTGTTGCGAACCATGTACGTTTCTCACTAGACCAAAGTCAATTTGATGTATATATGGTAATACAGAAAGATTAAGTTATTTCGTTCAATGTCATGGTGAACTCCAAATAACTATCCAGTCACTGATTAAAAATTTTAAGTATGATATACATTGAAAAATCAGGCAAGTAGTGCTCCAAATAAGTATCTAGTCACTGGTTAACTAATTAAAAGTATAATATATACTTAAAAATCTGGCAAATGACAATAACAGTACTAGCTAGATATTTAATATAGTCTACACTAGCTAGCTACTAGCATTTGGCTCAGTTTAATGAAGCGGTTTTCCACACGGGATAATCTATTAGCGTACCAAGAGGTTGGAAAAACCGGCCCTAAAAGAAAAGCCGCGTAAATCGAGGGAGCAGTGTGCTTGTCAAAGCCCGATCATAGTCCGTTCTAACCTCAAGATCATCTTAAGTAATGTCGCAAAATGCCAATGTTCTGTAATTGGTTTACAGCGCATAAACCTCAGTTCTCTTATGCCCATTTCTACCAATGCAGATTAACTTTAATCCTGAGTATAACTAATTGTAAGTTTTTATCCGTTTCCAATTCTGAAACTAGAAAAAGGTAAAAAAGTAAGTTAAGCCTAGATCAGAGTTAATCGGCGTCGGTGGAATTAGGCATTAGAAGACAAAGAATAAATTACATGGGTTGTAAGACTATACACTAGATAGTCTTAAGTGTAAGAACGGGCGCTGAATATAGGCCAAAGTGTTCCGCATACGCGCCCTCGTTCGTTTGTGCCTGGCGCATTTCGAAACGCAATTCCCAGGCTGGCTCTCGTCTCATTAGTATCTCGATATCTAATCGCCGGACTTTTCAAAGGCGCGGAACGTCCGATCCCTCGACGGAGAGAGCTCGCTCGCGCCTCGAGAAGCAGCATCACCGTTATCGGGACCTCGCCGGCAATTGTGTTCCCGCACGAACGTCGCCGATTACTCGGCCGTCAGCCGTGAAAATCCCGTCGCTCCTCGCCGAGTCGGAGCATCGATATCGTCGCGCGGCTCCGATAAGGTCCGAGTGCGAGCACGTCGTCGCACGAACGCCCGATATAAGCCGCGGGCGGATTACGCGCCGCGCGGAGGAATCGCGCGGGTACCCCGCGATCGCGAGGTCGCCCGTCCCCCGCCGGAGAGGAGCGCGTTTCAAATCCGCTCCCCTCTCCGCCCACGCTGGACTCCGGAGAGTATCCGGAATGCCCGCGCGCGCGCGGCGACTGGCCGCGAGAAGCGGAAAGCCGCCGTCCGCTGGACGTGGGAACGTCACCTCGACGTGGGCCCCGAGACGCCGCCGCGGGCGCGCGATCCGCTTCTAAATATTGCTCGGCCGTTCTTTCGACACCTTGGCGCGCGTTCGACACTGCGCTACGCGGCGCGGCGCGAGGTCAAATCGACGCGAACGCTCGGGAGGTCCAAGGGTCCTCGAAGGCGGCCGCGCGCATCGAGAGTCACTTTCGATTCCGTCGGAGACTCCGAGAGAGCGAGCCGGACAACTCCGGCAGCGCGGCGCTTGCGCGCAAAGTTGGAGGACGGAATGCACGGTACGCTACCTGTTGTGTGTCAGGTCGCTCGCTCGCTCGCTCGCCCGCCCGCCCGCCCGCCCACCCGCTCTCGCTCGCCCGGTCGTTTGGTCCCTCGGGCCCACCGCTGCGTATATCGGCGTACCTCTCTCCGCTACCCTTTTCGGAAGCGCCGAACGCGAGGCGTCCGGAGAATAATGTAGCTGACCGGACAGACGCACGTACGCACGCACGCACCCACCATACACGCGCACGCATACGCTCACTCGCCTGCTCGCTCGTCGCAGCGCGCGCCGATCGCGACGCGTCCACGCCGGAGCGTCGTCGCGTTCTCGCACGGCCCGTCGGTCGGTTCACGCGAAGAACCGCGCGCCGCCACCGCCACCGCCACCGCCGCCACCGCCACCGCCACCGCCGCTGTGCTTCTCTCGCAGCAACCTTGCGCGCAGGTGAACGCAAGCCGGCCGCCGCGCTCCGTCGGTCGAGCGGTCGGTCGGGCGGACGAGAGAGCTAGCGGACGGGCGAGCGAGCGAGCGCGCGAGATTGGCAGGTCACTCTCTTGTGTACCGGGCCGGGACACGCCGCGCCGGCCAGGTGCATTCTCGGCGTCCCGCTTGCCTGCTTTCCTCTCTACGCCCGAGCGAACGAGCGCGCGCGGCCGAGGCTGCGGAGCGCGCCCGGTAATGTTGTGTTACGTCACGCGGCCAACACGCCCGCGATATGCAACCGCGTGACCCTGCCGCTCCCGAAAAGGAAAGAGGGGAAGGGGAGAGGGGGACCTGACGCCGGTCTCTCTAACGGTAGGAGACGGTAATTTCGCGCTGCGCGCAATTGCACCCGCCGGGCTTGTAAATAAACCCTCCGAAAGGGGCTGCGAAACGCGGCGAGGGGCAACGCCGGGTACTTCGGATAGGTCGGGTGTCTCCCCAAAGTGCGAATATATCGTTCAGTCACGACTGACGTCAAGCGTGACCTCAGTGCGATGGCTGAGAAAGGTTAAAAGGACAGTGTCCAAGTGTGCAATCTAAAAAGTTGGGTGTCTGAGAGAGCAATAAAAGATAATGAAGACGTCGACTGTGGGCGGCTTGCGTAGGGAGGAGAGGGCGGACAGAGAGGAAATTTATATTAAAAAAAAACGTGAAATAACGACATGGTGAAAGAATAAAAATGAGAATCGCAATCGTTATTAGAGTGGGACAAGTCCTCTGAAGCGTATAGACAGTAACTACAAAAATAACAATGGGCTGAGTGCGCGTAAGATGAAACTAAAGGAATATACATGATACAATACAGGGTGTTTCAGGAGGAAAGGTCAATATTCTGGGAGGTGATGGTATCGAACATTTTAAGCAAAAATGTTTGTATGAATATATGTCCATTCCCCACTGTTTCCAAGATAGAGCTACTTGAATGTCTAGGGTATTTACTTCTTTTCTGTACACTCCACCCTTCATCCAACCCCATACACGTCTGCGGGAATTTACTGTTATACGTCTGTTGACTGTTGTGCTGATAACATTGTAGAAATGTTCAAAATGCCTCGCATATTCACAAATGTCGAACGTGCAACACGCCATAGTTCATACAAGAGTTGAAAAATGCATTGTTGCTAAAGGTGGAATTTTTGAAGATTTATTAGGTGTACAAATGAATAATCCAAATTTTTCAGCTATATTCAGGATTTATTTTAAAAGAAAGCAAAACAAATTTGTCAATCAAAGTATTCGCCGTTGCTTTCTATAACTTTAAGCCAGGTGATTGATGAATTCCATGTCGGAAAAATGTTGTGTCTTTGAACACGATAAAGTCGTCGAGCCATTTTCGGATCTCATCCACTGATTTCAAGTGCGTATCGGACAAGGCACATAATTACGAGAGAGCTCATTGGCTCTTGTATAATAAAAAAAAATGTGAATATAGAAATGAGAGAGAGGGAGAAAGAGAGAATCGTTAGAATCGTTATTTGTCGAACGCTCTGGGACTTATTGATAGTCCCCTAAAGCGTAATGACAATGTAACGGATTGTAACAATTTATCTAAACTGGTATACAAGAATAGAAATAAATTAGCATAAAACAGTATGGCGAAAAGAAACAAAATTAAAATGAATGTACGTAAGATTAACAAAAAAACAAACAAAAATTACAAATAATGTATAGTTTGAGGAAGATCAGTGATAAAATCAAAATAAAAATAGCAACACGTGATACGACAATAAAGTATTATATATGGCATAGAAAGACGGACATTGAAGCGGCAGGTCGCAAAGAGAGGAAGAGAAAGAGAGAGACCGCAGTGGCGAGGGGAAAAAAAGAGACGAGATGGCAAATCCAAGAACCGGGAGTAAAAAGAACCGAAGAAAAAGGCCACGTTTCTAGGCGCGGAATGAATGCGGCCGTGAGGTCGAGACAGCGCGTTTTCGGGGCCGCGGCTTTTCTACGCGCGAGAGCGAGAGAACGGCGGATACCTCGGGGCTCCGGCTCCTCCCTCTCCCCCCGGCCCCCTTCACGCTCGCTCCGGTGAACGTCGCGGGTTATGTCATGTAACACGCGCGTCCGCGCGCGATGACTTATCGGCCGACGGCGTCGAGGTCGCCGCGAATAGGTCGGACACGGCCGCGCGCGCGGCCGCTCGATAGCGTTGCGGATTTTTACGCGCGGCGCTGTTTCATCTTTCCTCTTTTGTTCGCGCGAGCCGAACGCGAGATCCCGACGACGCGTGAAACCCCGACGGCCGCGCGACCCGAAGTCGCAACGCGTCCTATACGTCGATCCTTTCACCTGGAATTTTGCAAACGGAGACGCATCCTCGTCGCCGCGGACCTTCGTTCCTCTGCGCTTCTGTTTTCCTTTCCCCCTTCGTCTTTGCACACGCGCGAGCAATCGGTTACCTTGCGCGCCCGATGATCTCAGGCTTCGCCTTCGCGTATCCTTCGACAAAGTCCCGCTCGCACGCGCTCGTCCGCGTCGTCTCGTCAACGGACGGACCGCGTTTCAATCGCGGTCGGATTCGATCTGCGGCTCGCGCGATCTCCTCGCGAAGATTCCACGCTCGTTCGTCTCGGTCATCGGGCGTTAATCGACTCCGTCCCAGCCGTAATCCCCCGTGACAAGTCGAACAATTAAATAAGCCCGGAGCACCGGCGGTATTTTTCCACGCGGACGGAACGACCGTCGTAGCGCGCGAGAAATTTAATTCCGCGGGCGCTCTCGGATTATCACCTGACACGCTTTTATCTCTAAGGACGGCTTACATCAGCTCCAATTAACTTAATCGCCCGCCATCGAGCTCCGATTAATTAGGCGGCGATTGACTTATCAAGTAATATCCATACTGCGACGTTAACATGCACGGTATCGCTAATCTCTTCGCGCACGGAAGAGAAGATCGGGTATTCGGGACGACGAATTGTTGGAAACTATTTGCCGCGAGAGATTTCCTGCCGGTCGAATTAGTCACCGGAACATACGAGTCCCGCTTGCTAAATTTAAGAAGACTAAAGGCTTGTGTCCACGCTAGAACTTGGTCCAAATTCCAGTCCCGAGAAATTTATGAAATAGCTGCAAGTTGATTGGCTACACATTTCTCGAAACTAGAACTTGGACCAATTTAAGTTCCAGCATCGTGGACACAGGCCTTTAGAAGACAAAGACCGAGCTAAACTAAGGGAACATGGAATGATTACCCGACTAGCGTCACCGAGTTGCTGTTTAACCTTTGGAGGGCCGGACTGGCCACTGTAGGGCATAAAGTTTCTGTTTGCAAAATTACAAATTTCAATGGAAAAATGCCGGCCCTCTACAGGTTAATAAGACGTTATATCGACAAAAAGGATATGAATTCGGTTATGAAAGGGTTAAATCGGCCGATGAGGTAAATTGGAGCCAAGTCGCCGCGAAGGTAACGTCATTTCTCAACGTTCGCTCGTCTCGAAACGCGAATTCTGCCGGTCCTCTCGGAGAGATCTCGGGGCTTCCTTCGAAGGTGGTTCTCGGAACCACCGACACACGCGCGAACGGACGAGCAGTCTCGCGTCCGTGAGTAATTACGTCTGTACAACGGTACGGTCCGCGCCGCGCCGCGCCGCGCGGCAGGTAAAGGTCGCCCGTGGGTCCGAAGGTCACCGCCTCTCTATCTGCCTGCGTGCCGCAGAATCGGCACGGATCCTGTCCTCGCCGCGCCCGACGCGACGGCGGCATCGGGTCGCGATTATTCTCTCCGACGAGCCCGCGGGCACGTTGCGTGACATACGCGCTTGGATGCGCACGTCCCGAAATAAAATGTCGCGCGCGCGCGCGAGCGAGCGCCGCAACACGTGTGCGCGGCCGAAAAAACGCGGCGCGGCTTTGTTCTGCTTTGCACCGCGCCGCGTCAGCGGCTCGGCACCCACGGAATTGTTATTGCCCAACTCTTGAATATGTATTTTCGAATGCGAACACACGTATATATATAATAAATATATGTACACGTTCGCGCGAGGTAATATCTCCCGCTGGCGCTTGAATATGCATGAACGGTCGAGTTGAAATGTCAGTGGTCGCATAAGAAAATGGATGATGCTCGCCCGTAGCTGCTGGGAGGAACCTTCGGCCGGGTCCTGCCCGAAGAGGATCGCCGAGGAAGGAGGAGGCTGCGAGGAGACACGACCAAGTCACGTGGCTCGAGGCTTCTTCGCGACGAAGAGGACGGAACGTTCCGTGCGCGCGAGAGCGTTACGTCACGGTGAGGAACGCCTTCGGGCATCTCGCGAGGATCCGTCGTCCCGGGGGAGACGAGACTCCCCGTTTCGCAGCCGATTCGACTAGAAGCGCGATTTTGCGTCCTCGCCAGACCGAGCCACCTCGCACGAAAACGCATGCGAAACGCGGATCCTCCGTACCTGGATTCTGGCGCGCTAAATCCGCGTCGCCGACCCGAAATTCCTCGCGCTAGATCCGGCCAACTCGAGAGACCGAGACGGAAACGAGGAAACGTCGTCGACGACAACGCGCGGGTATCGCGGACGGACACGCGCGCGCGCGCGCACGCCTCTGCCCGCTGCCGTCGAGAGGAAGTCCCTGACGCGACAGGGCGTGCACGCGAGCGCGAATTGCGCTCCTACGAGTCGAGGGCGGATCTCGAGAGTGAGATAGAGAAAGAGATAAGGAGAGAAAGAGAAAGAGAGAAAGATAGCGATAGAGAGAGAAAGAGGAGAGGGACCGCGACTCACCTGCGCGGCTAGCAGCGGCGACGACTGATCCTTGCCGACGCGTGATCGGGACCAGCGGGCTGGCTACCAGGCTTCGTCCGAGCGGGTTAGAGTTCATAACCTCTTCTAACCTTTACCTTTTCGCCATCCCTGTCGCCCCCTCCCCCTAGCCTACCGCCGCCCCCACCTTCCTTCGCGAACGCCCCGACATCTCGCGTGTGTCGCTCGCTGCGTCATCGAGCGCGCGACGCGCCATCGCGAGAGGGATCGACTCTCGCCGAGAGAACCACTCGGGAGCGGCGGCGGGAATTTCGATTGGTAGACTCGTAGACATAGTAAATATAGACTGATTGTGAGCGTCCCAATAATATTTACTATAAAATTTCAAATTTCAATCGACCTCAGTTGGGCACATTTATTGAACACGCTTTCACAACGTTTCGACCTTTGGTTTAAGTCCTTATCAAGTGAGATCTTACGGAGTTTGTCAAATGAAATTACAGCCACAATTTGGCGAACGGTGTTCAGAAATAACAGCCATTTCAGTGAAATTGTCAACTGTTAACTAAAAGTTCATCGATTCTGTCTCTTCTTAGATAATAATATTAAAAAAAAGATAGAGAATCGACTAACCTGTGGTTAACAGTCAATGAAAAAATAAGAAAACTGGGCCTGAACCTCAGTAGAGTCTACAAAACCTCCGGGAAACGGTCTGAAAATGCCTCCTCAAACAGCTCGAGAAAAATAACGAGGGCCTTAAATATGAAAAAAATTCATTTATTGTAAACACGTCGCACAGTGTTGTGGGGGGTACATACAATTTTCCGCACAATTCATCACGAGAGCTTTACCACTAAATGTGATGCGACTACTGCTAGTATCACTACCGTCCTTAATTTAATCGTAGGTGTGTTCGTGTTTAATCGCACTTTTGCCCTACACCTCGTCCCCTGTCTCTTTTTCTCTCTCCAAAGCTCGGATATATACCTATTTTCGTTTTAAGCGCGGGAAGCGTAAGAAAGTGCGACTAAAACGACTCGACTTGAGATCCCCCGAATCTCATCTAGCGAATATCCTGCTTGTACAATGATTGTATGTTGCACGATACATTCATACATGCGTACATACGTAAAGTTGCGATACATACCAATACATGAACCTATGGAATAAAATCAACCTGCTTTGAAAGCGCTGCGATAACGTATCATATCGATACAATGCCTTACAAAATTGGACTATTATTAGAAATGTATTCTTACAATTGCTTAAAATTGCACCTGATTACACAGTACAATGTAAGTTAAAGTATATTAGTATGTATTTACATAAAACGTGTGGCTATTACATTAAATATATGTATCAGAGAAATATGGATTGGCATCCGTTATAAAGTAGAATCAAAAAAAGCTCAGAGAGACTATATATCAATATACCAATGTATAAACGCGTAACTATGTTTTATGCGATATTTAAAAAGTTTAAGAAACCTCTGCGTCTTTCTGATTTTCTTGCTCATCCCTTAACAATAAACGTTTGCGTTCTCCTTTTTGGTGGCTTATTGCAAGTTTCCTACAGAGAGAAGACATCTTGTGTCGGATTATCTTAAAACGTGGCCCTGAAGAGTTTTGCTGATTAAAGTCGTACAGTACTTAACTAGTTCTTGTTATGTATCGTTGAATTTGATAGAGATCAATTTTACATCTTGTGTAAAACTTAATATAATTTCACAAGAATTTAACGCATATCACCGTGCATCGCGCATTGCAGATTGTTATGTACATGAACACTTTTTGTCAATGTCTTAGCATTGTGTGGTAAAAATAATACTTAACAGAGATATTAGGACAACAAGATATTTTTACGCATATGAAAAATATTTTGTTATCGTAATATAAAATAGTTTCGGGAGTGCTACATCCATTGTTTTATATAAAAGTGCGATTAATCAGAGATACCAACGGAATCTGTCAAGACGAAAATTCTACGGATCTAGCAAATTCATTCGAATTTCAATCGTATTTGTATAACGGTAACAAACTGTATGCTTAAAAGCTATAATATAATATAATATAATATACTATATTATTATAATATGATAATAATAATGGTACAGATCAAGAGACATGGTAGTGTCTCCTGCAAAGTAAAGATTTTACATGAATTGCAAACAAACTAAGAGACTGGCCTACTGCGCAAAATATCTGAGAGTAACTAGGAATCATTTGAACAAATCACCACATCTGAAACTTATTAAGATAACGAATTTCCTTTCCTAAGTAAAAATATGGACTCGAAAGAGAGATATAATTCTCCCACAATTTTCTGACCTATCAGGAGAAGAACATCACGTTACCACCTTTACGATAGATTACATTATCTTATTATCATTTTATATAGCCTATCACCGCTAAAATTAATAGTAAAATTCATCGTCACTAAACTAAGTAGTTATACTAACTTATATCGAATTGTAATTTGTCCGTATGTCAATGGGATAGAAAGCACCGTAATGATTTTATACACAGGTCGTTCCGAAAAACAAATCATACGATCGTTTCTGTTAATTATTTCAGCAGGTACGGTAAGTTGATCACAAAGATTCTGCACATTTCAATTAAAGGCAGACAGAGTTGCTAGCAGATCTAGAATCCCCACAAAATTCCACGTAAACATCTATCAAAGTATCGTTAAGTGCCGAGGAGGTATTTCGTTCTTACCTGTAAATTTTACACGAATCGTCACACAAGTCTTAGACTTAGCTAGAATCGTAACGAGAGTCGTTCTCTACTCACTTGGTTTAAAGTTATCTCGCTCCGGTTAATGATCGCCAAATACGTCCTGACTAGCAAATACAACGTACAGGAACCCGTCCGGGTCCTTCTCGTTTTGATAGAGCTCAGCCATGGTCAGACTTCCGCTCACCATACTTTTCTGATTCACCAGTAGAAAAATGGCCTGCGTCGGATTCAGCTGCAGCCGACGTCTGTTTGCAACGCGAGGTACATTAATTGCATTGCACTTATTATACATTCTACCTAAAATTCCGGGGGGATTTTATGTACCTGATTATCTTGCAAAATTCCGCCACAGTCAGAAAGTCGGGCACCAGAAATTTACTCTTGTCCAAAAGTGGCAGCTGATTCTCCAGTTTGTAACGCTCCACGATAATCGGGATTTTATTCGGGTGTAGCTTTCTGATTTCCTCCGCACTAACTGATCGCTGTTCTGGATTAACAGAGAAGAAAGATGTCATTTGCGCATTTAATTGCGTATCTTATCGGCGCACAATCGATACATTTCTTAATCTATTCGACCGGAATAATGAGCGACACTTGTCCGTGACTTGATACGAAATGCGCATCGACTTTTTGATTTATGGATAAACTTGCACATGTATAAACGAGCATGTTACGCTCCTTGTGTAACGATACACACTTCTTAATATTGTAGAAAATTAAATGATGCATCCACAACGAGACAAATCCCGATTGCACTAAAAAAATATATATATATCATCAATGTTTCATGATTTACGATAACGAGCTATGACAAAAAAAATTCACTTGAACATGTTTATCAGTCGGAGGCCTGTTTGACTATATAGGGGTTCGATCATGAATCTTTTTCTCCAGCGTGAATTCGTGAAATAATTTCATTGACGAGTTTAATATTTGTCAATGAAATTTTTCACTCTTTACAAGTTCAATCAATCTCGATCCAACTCTCCTTGTAGAAGCTTCCCTGTTTCCATTTCTAGAAATTCCAAAAGAGCTTAAGCCGAGATTAAAGTTAATCCACACTAGAAAAGACTTCACCAACGGGTATAAAAATGTCGTATTACAATCGATTGCTCAGGGTCGCCGAGGATGTTGTCGTTTAACAAAAAAGGAGCCGCTCAGAGCCATATCTCATCTGCCACGTTGTATCACAGCGGGAAATTACAAGTCAATAGAATACAATTAAAAATAATGCCCGAGATAATAAGAAGATACGCGACGGATCGACACACGCTCTTTTGTCCCTTCGTCAAATCGAGTGGATTGCGCGACCGAGAAAAATTCCACGAAACGTGGTGGCTGCTGCCCAACGCCGTAGCGGCGGTCGCCCTTTTTTCTAAGGTTATCCTGCCGGATCGGAGCAGCAGCGGCTTCTCGCCCTTTGTCTTCAGCACGCGCTTTGTCTCCGCGCTATCTTAGCCGCGCGCGCTCGTCGAGATACTCGCTCGGGCGCGAGTGAACGCGGCCGCTGCTGCTCCTCGGCGATCGGTCCTCCCGATCGGTCCGGTCGCCGCGCGACAGCTCGCGGATGAAAGGACGTGGCCCGCGGCGGGAAATAAGGAGGATTCGAGGCCGCGGGCCGCGAGTCGAGGACGCGATCCCTCGAGCGGTCCAGACTCCCCTCCGGGGTCACGCTCTCCCTTTTCGCCCTGTCCTTACTACCCTGTCGTACCCCCCCTAGGTAGGATGTCAGCGCGGAAGCGACGAACGCAGCGACTCACCGAACGTACGTTTCTCCTTGTACGATCTCCTGGGCGTCAAATTCATGTTCGTCGTGATGGTGCTACGCGCTATCACCTACTGCGACGTTCGCGGCCGCGCTATCAGCTGTGGACTCGGTCGCGGGTCAAAATAACGCTCGCATGCAGCACAAACGACGCCGTACCGAGGCTCCGTCGGGTTGGGTTGGGTCGCATCGGACGTGACGTAACGTGCACGCAACGTGCTCAGCGGCGTATATACGTGGGCTCGGCGTCGAGCGTCCGTTTGACTTGTCGTTAGGGAATTGTTGCATTTGTCGCGCGACAAAGTTTCCGAACCGCGTCGATCGGCTACAAGCTAGAAATTTTCCGTTCGGCAACCGATCTATCTCGACAGCTTTTCTATTCCGCGGTCAGTCAGCGCGCTTGAAAAATTTCTCTCGTACGACAAATGTAATAGCAGCCTCGATCGGCGATTAGTCTGCTGAGCAGTGTTCGCTGTTATCTAAATAAAATTATATAGATGATTATCTAGATAAAATTTTAGCGTTATCTTATCTTTATATAGATAATAAAAATAAGTATTATCTATATCTGCATCTTAGATGAAAGAAAGTGTTACCTTTGCTAAATTATCTAAGATAACGTACAGATAATTTGGTTTAGGGCCACATAAAAATACTTAACAGTTACACTATTTAAATATGGATGGCGTTGTAGACCATGCATTTATGTGTGTGTCATATAACTTAACCTGAATATATTCTATATCCCCCTTTATAATTTATATTTTTCTATAATTTTTTTATAACTTTTTCTACTGCGTTTACATGAAGTCTTAAAAATATTATCTGAAAATTATCTAGATGAATCATCATATAATTTTATCTTTTATCTAGATATATTCAAAACGAAATCATCTTTATCTTATCTAAGATAAATTTATATATTTTTATCTTATCTTTATCTAGCTGATTTTAAAATCATCTATGCACAACACTGCTGCTGAGTAATGCCCGCCGATGTCTCGTTAAGTCCGTATCAGACTACGGATTGGGATTAGGATTAGATTGAAATTTAACCAATCACAGTAAAGTTTACTAATCTCAAGTTCAGTAACTTTTACTCTGATTGGTCAAATTTCAATCTAATCCCAATCTCAATCCGTAGTCTGATACGGGCTTTACAATGCGGACGGAATTGTTAATTTCTCTTGCCGTTCGGTTGGATCGAGGACGGAGAATTTCGCGGATGAAAACTTGGCCGCGTGCGATTTAACTGACCGCTCCGATCGGAGGTTTAACGTCCACTTCTATCGATGCAGAGTAATTTTGATTGCGATTTAAAACTTGCTTCTTATCTTTTTTGTAGGTCTAAGGTTTGGGAGAAGGTGGGAGGTAAATTATAAACCGAGATTCAAGTTAAGCCAACGGCATACGATACTATTTTCCCTACTGGATTCCTTACGAGAGCCAATCAGGATTCAGCTTTGAGTCACCCGATCGAAAACTCTGCATCCTGATTGGTCTCTTGTAAGCAATCCAGTAGGAAAAATAGTATCGTGTGCCGTTGGCTTTAATCTGCATTGGTAGAAATCAGAGCTTGGTATCTTGACTTATTTCATCAAAGATGCAAAATAAATTTTCAATGGATTCAGTGAAGAGATACAAGTTACATTAATATTTTCTAAAGACCTGTGTCCACGATGCTAGGACTTGG